TACTCAAAACCTGTGTTTTAACCAAATTTTGAGTGTTTCCAAATCTCTCTTTTAAGTGTTTCTAAATCTCTTTTTAAGAATTTTAAGTGTTTTTAAATCTACTCGGACCTCTTCTTTTACTTATATATGTTAATGGTCTTCATAAAGCATCCAGCCTGAGGACAATAATGTTTGCAGATGACACAAATTTATTTTTATCCCTCATTAACATTACTATATTATTTGAAGTTATGAACTTAGAATTTAAAAAGGTTTCCGACTGGTTCAAAGTAAATAAACTTTCAGTAAATGTTGACAAAACTAACTGGACTCTATTTCACACGCTTTCCAAAAAAAAAAAAACTAATACCATACGAAACGCCATCTATATTCATTGATAATATTCAAGTTAAAAGAGTAAAAACTCAGTTTTTAGGAATATATATATCAATATATATTCCTAAAAACTGAGTAGTTTTTACTCTTTTAAGAAAATATTTGATGAAAATCTTAAATGGAGACAACACATCGAAAATTTAAGCAACAAAATTTCAAAAAATATTGGAATATTATACAAATCAAAAAGCTGTTTAAACATGCGCACTTTAATGCAACTATATTATTCACTTATTCACTGCCATGTTAACTATGCAAATATTGCGTGGGCAGTACATTAACTCTGAGAATATCAAAGGTATGCACATGAAGTTGCGATGGAGCATAAAATGTTGATTCTCTGTCTAATGACGTTGTTCAAGCAGTGCAAAATGCTCAGAAAATATATAAAAAAAGAAAAGCTGAGGAAGGAGAAGAAAAATAACAAATTAATTTAATATGCAAGAACTTATTGGCAAAGAAAAACAACTAGGAAATGCTTGAAAATAAAATATTGAAAATGCTACAGCACAAAGAAATGAACAAAAAAAGTTGAGTAAATATTGATTTAAATTGAAAAAGTGAAATAGATAGTTTAATCATTTCAAAAAATCAAAGTTGTATTGTAAAAAAAGTTTTTGCGAACCTTTTTGTTTAATTACTTTGAACCTTATTTGGTGTAGGAAGTTATTTGGTGTTTTGTTTATTCTGTTATTTTATTTTATATTATTTTTGACATTTTTGATGACTTCTGATTTATTTTGTTTTTTGAAATAGTTGTTGAACTTTTCATTTTTTCAATTAAATTTGTCATTTTTTGCCATTTTTCCCTTCAAAATACCGTCCTTTTTTTTCCTTTTTTTTATAAAGTTGTTGTCTGACAGCCTGATGGTACAAATTCTTAACCAAATACATTCAAAGAGTCTGCAGCCTATTTTTCCATATGTATGCATCTTAATTCGAATTTTTAATACAATGCCAGTATCTATTGCAGAGGGTGAACGATCATTTAATAAACTAAAATTGATAAAGAATTATTGTAGGGCCACTATGGTACAAGAATGTCTTTCGGATCTCATGTTGTTTTCAGTAAAAAATAAGTTGGCTAAGACTCTTCATATGATTATACAACAATAAATTTTGCCGGTAAAAAAACAAGAAAAGAGTGTTTTATGTAGGCCGTTTTTAATTTCTAAAGAATGTCTAATAATGCACTTTATGTTGTATTGGCGTTGCTTAGTTGTATTTTTTATAGATACATTTTTTGAAAATTTTGCCGTAGATTGATTTTAACAGAAATAAACCACAATTAAGAAAATTCATTTTAAAACCGTGTACAGTTGTATATATGCATGAATGAATTCGATAAATTTTTTTAAAATCATGTATGTTTATAGGGGTGCCTACTCAACGCTATTCCTCGGGCTCCACAAAAGCTCTCGGCGGCCCTGTGCATGGGTAAATACAAATTATACAAAATTAAAAAAATTGTACAATAAACAAAAACATGCGTGCAGAATATTATTTGGAGCTGATAAAACTGTACCATGCGAGGCTCATCTGCAACTCAACTGCGAGGCTCATCTGCGTATACTTGGCGGATTAAACGTTTATAAAATCAACTTACACTAAGTTTTTATGTTCATGTATAAAACAAAGTTAGAACTATCTATTAAAATATTTCCTTCCTGTTTTGAAAAAGTTGTTCATAAATACTCGAAAAAGTTTTCGGATAATAACTACATTGCCTCTAAATATAATTCAAAACAAATTACATATTCAATTCAATATCGTAGACCTTATTTGTGGAAAAAGTAATATTCTAATATTACAAATACGAAAAAAGTTAAAAAGTTAAAAAGTTAGTATACAACAGTTTAATAATGAATCGAAGCAGGTGTTATTACTTATGGATTTCAACATATCCAATTTTAAATGCTTCTTTTAAACTAAAACTCAATTATATAAAATATGTCTCAGAATGTATCAACTTTTTTTAATTAAATTAGTAATGGTGTTTCCTCTAATCTTAAAAGTTATTGTTGAAATCTAAACTGAGTTCTAAAATATTTTTTTTTTTTTTTAACTATCAATGAATTGTTATTTATTTTACTTCTATACAAATTGGTTTTAAAATAAAATAATTACGGTTTTCGTAAACTAAGTTTTTATTTTTAATTTCTCGTTCTTTATTAAAATTTTACAAACTCTAACATATTTTATTTTTAAATTTTTCAATAAATAAGTTGTATAGCATACATATATGACATATATAGTACGATTCTTGCAAATATGTGCTCTTTAATTTATATTTTGTTTCTTTTCTTTCGATTTTTCTTGTTTACTTTATTATTACTCTTAACATGAATATTTGTTCTTGAAATATTTCTTAACTAATTGTAATTTATTTTATATTTATATTTTTCGATAAATAATTTGCAAAGTATAAATATATTATACGGTTATTAAAAATACATACAATTGGGGCCCGGTGATAAGACAAAATAGCGTCTTCTACTTGCCCGGCCAGTGTTTTTATTTATATACTTTTAAATTGTAAAAGTTATTATAACGGCGAAAACAATAAAAAAAAAAGACTTAGGGCTTCTTTATAAAAATAAAAAAATAATAAAATAAATTAAACTCTGCATTTTTTAAAGTAACAAAAAAACTGTCTGTCTGCCGCCTCTTTTAAAATCATAACAATTTAAGTAAAAAAAAATTTTGGCCATAGTTTGTTCAGGAAATCTATCGATAACTTACTACTTCAAATCTGATAACATTTTGTAGAATTGTTCAAACTTTATAATTGTTTTAATTCTAAAATAATGTATTAAAGGGTTTTCTAATGATGTATATACATAGTATTTGATCAATTTAAAAATTTCAGTCACTCTCTCTCTCTCATATATATATATATATATATATATATATATATATATATATATATATATATATATATATATATATATATATATATATATATATATATATATATATATATATATATATATATATATATATATATATATATATATATATATATATATATATATACATATATATATATATATATATATATATATATATATATATATATATATATATATATATATATATATATATATATATATATATATATATATATATATATATATATATATATATGTATATATATATATATATATATATATATATATATATATATATATATATATATATATTTATATAGTAAAGATTCATTTTGTTACAAACTTAATGTTTGTAGGTGGGTTTCCACTCATCCGTTTTCTACGGGAAAAAGAAGGCAAGAATAATTACGTAAGCATGTGTAGTTTTCCTTCGGAAAAAGTTGAAACTTATACTACACATGCTTACGTGATTATTTATCCCTTACCTTTCCCGTTTCTGTAGAAAACAAATGAGTGGAATCTCGCATTAATTCTTTTTAGTTTCTGAGTTTTTTACAAGTCGGTAAATTCGGCGTTGCTAAAATTGAAAATGGCTTATCTAAAATAAATATAAAAAAATTATCTCTATAGATAAATAGCAGTCCTTAATGAAACTTTTATAACTTATAACTTAAACTACTTGGAGTTTTATTGTTTCTTGCATTTTATTCAGATCATATTTTCGAATAAAATTATTATTTTTGCTAAAAATGAACGGGAAAAAACCATTTATCCTACATTTTAAAAAGGAAAAAATATTTAGAAATAACGAATATTCATAAAACAACATACCTGTAATATACAAAAAAAATTTTTAAACCTAAATTTTAAAGAAAATTGGTTATCTTATTACAATACCCAAAAACAATTTAAATGTCTAAACAAATAAATGTTTGTAGGTGTCTTTAGAAAAGGGTGCCGAAAGCCTCTCACTGCTGAAATTACCCGTCCTTAACCTCATAATAATAATAGTAAAGCCGTTTGACAATAGTTGATAAGTTACTAGAACAATCTGACCAAAATTACAAATAAAAACAAAATAATAGTTAAAAAAAAAATACCAAAAAAATCTTAATAAAAATAAAAATAAACAAATCTAAAACCAGCAGTAATGACTACAATAAGTAAGTCGTAGTTATAAAGATAAACTAAACTGTTGAACCTAAAAAATAAATTTGTTTTAAACATGGAAACCATATAAATAAAGGTTAAATAATACGTGTAAGCATAAAAGGTAACCGTAATTTTACTCTAATTGTTACCATAAATCTGTAAGCTAATTGACAATATTAAAGTTTTAAAAGTTGTTTTAAACACATTTTGAAGTTTAGTTTACCAAATAAGAATACTTTATGTAATCAACTACATACATAAAAACATTTATAAGTATAATGTATATAATTTCTTGTTATACTTAATTTTTTATGATTAGTTTTAATTGTAACTATATTCCATGTAACTAGCTGTGTAAAGATAACCTCGCTAATTTCTCCACTTTAATTCAACCATCTGTTTCAATATCATTTTAGAAGAATTTTATAGATCTACAACATCTGCTTTCGTACTTTTTGTGACTTTGTACCAGCTTCTCAATTCTTACACTTGTTTATAATAAATATGCAATTTAACACGTAAATTTGATTGGTTACTACGAAATTTGTTTGTACACTTTGCTTACTCGTGTTCTTAATTTAA